AAAAAAAAAAGTTGTGCTGTAAAGTATTCCTTGAGAAATGTTTATAATTCTATGAGAATGTAAATAGTTTCACAGTAATTGTTTTTCAGTTAGAATATTCTAACTTAATTGCAGCGCAGTCTCTTTAATTTCTTGTTCATTAATTTTTAACTAACTTCATAAAAGAATAAGAATAAAAAAAATATGATTTATTTAAAAAAAAAATCCCTGGGTGGGCGGGGGTTGGAAAGATAGCTAGTAAATATCCTTGTGGCACAAGCATGAGGACCTTAGTTTTCTTAAAGAAATTTGTTTGTTAATTATTTACATGAATTGTGTATGTGTCTGTGTGAATTTATTATGCTCTGCAGCCATGCAGAAGTCAAAAGAGGGTGTCAGCTGTCCTCTCCTATCACTGTCCACCTATTCTGTCGAAGCAGGGTCTCTCCCTGAACCTGGGGCTCTTGTTCTGGCCAGGCTGAAAGCCAGCAAGCTCCAGGGATCTTCCTATCTCTGCCCACCTCAGAGCTGGGGTTACAGGTTTTTTTCAGGAATACCCAACTTGTTATGTAGATACTGGGATCTGAACACCAGTCCTTATGATTATGGAGCAAGCACTTTTTATTTTATTTTATTGATTTTTTTAATATTTTATTTTTTAATTTTATGTGTGCGAGTGTTTTTCCTGCGTGTATTTAAGTACACCACATATGTACAATACCCTGCAGAGGCCAGAAGGTGCCAGATCCCTGGAACTGTAGTTACAGATGGTTGTTAGCTGCCATATGGATGCTGGGAACTGAACCTAGGTCCTCTGAAAAAGCAGCCAGTGCTCTTAACCACTGAGCCAACTCCAAAACTATGAGCCAAAAATAAACCTTTTGTCTTTGTAAGTTGGTTATCATAGGCATATTGTTATAATGGTGGAAAGCTGACTAGTGCCAGTGCCCAGAAGGAATTCCCAGGTCTCAGCTCTATAAGGATGCTGAGAAAGTACAAGTGTTAGTTATCCAATATGCTCAGTCCCAGTGTCACTCTGAGAAAGGTCCCACACATGATCTTGAGAACAAAGGCAATGTTACTATGTTAATTGACAATGACATTTTCAACCATTGGGTGCCTTATGGTTAACAGAACATAATGTTGTGGGGAGGCCAGGCAGGGATTATTTCCATTTTATAACAGGAAGACCAGCTCACAGGTCCTGCTACCAAGAACCACACAAGGGACCACACTCATACCTGAAGCCTTCTGGTTCCCAACCCCATTCATGATGCTTTGACTGGAGTTACAGGCGGTTGTTAGCTGCCGTGTGGGTGCTGGGAATCAAAACTGGGTCCTCTGGAAGAGCAACAGTGTTCTTAACTGCTGAGCCATTTCTCCAGCCCTGGAGCAAGTACTTTTAACCTCTAATCCATCTCTCCAGCCCACAAGGAACTGAATTTGATCCCCAGAATAAATATGAAAAAGTTGGGGTGTGATGTTTCATGCTTCTACTCCCAGTACTGGGGAGGCAGAAACAGGTGGACCCCTGGAGTTCGCTGGCTACACAGCCTAGCCTAATTGGCAAGCCCCAAATTCCAGTGAGAGGCTCTGTCTCAATAGACAACATAGACAGCTTCTGAGGAACAATATTGCAGGTTGACCTCTGGCCTCCACACACAGACACAGAGACACACACACACACACACACACACACACACACGCACATACGCATGCACGCACACAAACCAGGAACACATAATGGCTGATACATCAACTTTGGTGACCAAGACAGAGCATTGTCCTTTCTTTGCTGCAGATACATGGCCATCATCCATCCCCTCCAGCCCCGGCTATCAGCCACTGCCACCAAAGTAGTCATCTGTGTCATCTGGTTCCTGGCTCTCCTGCTGGCCTTCCCACAAGGCTACTACTCCACCACCGAGACCATGCCCAGCAGAGTCGTGTGCATGATTGAATGGCCAGAGCACCCCAACAGGACCTACGAAAAAGTGTGAGTAGAAGTTTGCCACTCTCACCCATCCACTCAGAAGCCACTGCAGTGCCTGGGACCTTCCTTGCCCTTCTTTGTTAATTCTTTCCATATTCTTTTATCAATGAAAACTTAATGTATAACTACCTGTATTTCTCACATCCACTCTGACATGGCATTGATGTGTCTACAGCTCTTAAGGGAATGATGGTATCCCCAATACTGCTCTGGGCTTTGGAAGACAATACTCCTCCCCTGCCAAAAAATGTTGAGACCTAGTTCCTATTACTAGTTCCTATTACAATAGATGCTTTGGGTGCTCCACCACGTTTCTTGGGCCTGTTACCTGCGAACTCCCTGCCAGTTCCTGTGTTTCTGGGGTGCCGCACTTTGGTCAGGCGCAGCATGCTGGAAGATGGGAACGTCTCCACTCTAGTAGCTCTCAACAGTGACCTTGCTCCTCTCCTGTCTGGTACCGTCCCTCTGCAGTGTGTTTTGCACTGTCTGGGATTTCCACATTAAGCTGCAGGTGCCCCAGTGGAAGCTGCTTTCAAAGCACACACTTTATTGACCACCAGCCTTTCCTGTATATCACAGCCTACTCCTTGCCCTTTCTCCTCCCAAATAGGGTCACTGTACTTGCATCTCAGACTCTGTCTCTAGGGAAGCATCAACCTAAACACCTTCCAGGATCTTACAATGTGAGAAGCAAGACAGTGCCTTTCAGAAGCCTGAGAATGCAGGGCCAGCTTGGTAGGACTTTGAGAGTTACAGAGTGCTTACCAGGCAAGCATGAGGGCTGGCCACAGACAGGGTTTTTCTAAATGTCTTAGCAATTTCCCTTGAGACTTCTTGCCCTAGAGGCAGCATTGCAATGGCTCATTCTTTACCTTGTTCTCAAGTGAATGGTGATGTTCTAATCGTTAGATTTCTGGACTGACAGTGCATGGACAAAGTGGCTCTTCTTGAAAACCTCTGTAATCCTACAGTGTTGGGCTTATTATTCAAATCATAAAACACTGGAGTTCGAGTCAGAAGATCTGAGTTTTTAATTATGAATTGCCACTACCCGTGTGACTATGTGCAAGGGTCACAGCTTCTCCTCTCTTCTAAAATGGAAGAAAACAAAACTGTTTCCTGTAAACAACTGCTATGAATATCAAATGACACAGTGCATTTCTCACCTTGTAAGCTATTAGATGTCATACAAGAATTATGCAGCAAATTCATTGGATAGCAATGTAATTGTGTGGCCTTTAAATTTACCAAATGTTAAAACGAGACAACCTGTCATAACACTGAGATCTGAGGTTCCAGAGTCCGTCACAACAGTCACACTGGCATGTCTGTTCTGCAGAGCATGGAAATGTGACTTGCCGGGTACATAAGGTTCAGGTGCAGCCTTCCAGACAATGAGATCTAATGGATCAAGCAGTTGGTGGATAGATGCTCAGCCCAGGAGACACTGTAAAATCATTTTATTAAGTAAAGCTACAAGCCTGAGCAAGATCTCAGCAGGGGAAAGAACTCAACTTCACGAGCCATATGGGACCCATGAACACAACCAAGCCAGGTTTCCTCCGAATGGGAGGAAAACACCTCTGAATGAAAACTCCTCATAGAAAGCTCTTCAGAAATCTGTCAACAACAGGGACCAGGGCTCTGTCGTTAGTTCTCAGAGTCTTCTCAAAGTTTGATCCAATTCCTACAACCTATTTCGTGACAGTCACAGCTACTTTTATCTTACAGAAAATTTAAAGTTTAACTCAGAAATAGATTTCTTTTCCCCCAGAACTATGGGGTTTTAGTCAATAAGCAACAATGTTTAGAGACTTGTGAACATTTTGGTGATTTATGCTTGTTAATGACTAGAAATTTCCTTTAAGACCCAACACAGTGCACTGGGGTTATCATCTTTCTTGGCTTTGAGAATTCGAAGGAGCTTTTACTGGTTCTGTGGATCGTTTGCCATCACTATTTACTTCATGAGAGCAACTAATCTAGTTTCATTCTGTTGCTGTGATATAGCATTGATGAAAAGCAACTTGAGGGAGGAAAAGGTTTTGGCTTATTATGCTTAGAGACTGCAGCATCATTAAAGGGAATCAGAGCAGGAACTAAAGGCAAGAACTTGAAGCAGAAATTGAGGAGGAACACTGCTTGCTAGCTCCCTCTGGCTCCCTCTTAACTAGCTTTCTTTTATAGCCCAGGACCACCAGTTGGTGGGCTGGGCCCTCCTATATGGATTAAGACAAACAAGATAATCCTTCACAGACATGTCCACAGACCAACCTTGTAAAGACACTCAGTTGAGACTTTTTTCAGGTATTTTAGACTGTGTCAAGTTGAAAGTTAATGTTAACTAAAACAGTTACCTATAGAATATGATTCTGGCTTACAAGCATCTGATGTTACTTATTTAAGAGATATAACATGTTCATTCTTATAATAAATCTAAAGAGTCTATATTTGTCATTCATATATTGACTGAGATATAAACATAATTCAAATGCATAACAAAGCTTTCAATATTAAATTCTGTTTTCTATGTGTCAGTATCCATAATGTATTGATATATTTTTAGAGAATTTATATTTTATTATGTTTAGCTAAATAATTATATCCTCTTCTTTTAGTACTAATGACTGTCACTTCCACAGTACACAAAAATTCCAAATTTGACACCAGATGGAAATTTTGTTTTGAGTTACTGTGATAATTAGTGTGAGTATGTGGGCTCAAGTTCAATGAAAAATCAGTTCTCTGCCCCACCACTCTCTAATCCAATCATCAATGGTCAAGTCAGTTAAGCCTTTAAGCCTGATAGTATATTCCACAAAGAAGTATTGCAAATAAGTGTGATTGTTAGTCCTAATAGTCAATTTGACAAGGTTTAGAATCGCCAAAGTCCCACACCTTTAGGTGTGTCCATGAAGGAGTTTCCAGGAAGGTTTGACTGAACAGGGAAGACCACCCTGAATGATGGCAGCACCATTCCATGGCTGGCATCCTGGACTGAAGGAAAAAGAGAAGGCGAGCTGAGCACCAGCATTCATCTCTCTCTGCTTCCTAACGGTGGATTCAATGTAGCCAGCTGCTTCAGGCTCCTGCCACCATGCGTTCTGCACCACGATAGACTGTATCTCCTCAAGCTGTGGGTCAAAATAAGCCTTCCTTCCTTAAATACCTGCCATCAGGTATTTTATCACAAGAAGAAAGTCACTAGTGCAGCAAATATATAACTCATGGGAAGTGCTCAGCCCAGGGCCCTGCATGTGGTAAGGGTCTGGTGAATGTTAATTGCTGATGTTAGCACTGTTCACTGACAGGGTTACTGGCAGGTGACTGGAAGATGGTGCGATTGGCAGATGCTTAGGCTCAATTTCTCTGAGAAATAATTTGTGCCAACTAATTACATGAAAGTACTTTGCAAAATATCATAGACTGCTGCAAATGCCTTCTGGCTACATGGAGAACTTCCAACACTAATCATTCCTCATTCGTATCTTTAATAACACATGGCTTAAATGAAGAGCTGTGAAAGACAGGCAGCTCAGTAAGAGAATGGACAAAGTATTGAGCATGCACTTTACAAAAAAATCCAAATGTCCAATCAATATATAAAGAGACACCCAAGTTAATTCATCATTCATTAAATAGAAATGAAAACTATAATGGAATCATGTCATACACCATCAGACTAGTCAGTGTCAAGGTCTCTGACACAATTAAGTCTAACTTTTCAAAGATATAAAGTGATGAGCACTTTTGTTGGCTGCTAAAAAAAAAAGTATGAATTTGCAAAAGCACATTGTAAAATGCTTTAATACTATCTTTAAAAATAAAAGCTATGTATACCCCATAACTCACAAATTTTCCTCTAGGGTAATTACCCTAGAAATACTCCTGCATATGCATCTGACAGATTGCTCATGTCAGTGTTGTTCTTTATGACCCAAGCTAAAGCCATTTCATATGCCCATCATCAATAGACTAGATTAGAAAAAAAAAATGTGGGAGCACATAATATAATCCTGTATCACTAATAAAATCAACAAAATGGAGCCCCAAACAATGTGGATGACTCTTACAAAGTTCTAGAACAAGCACAACAGAATGACATTCTTGAAATACATAATTAGACAAAAGAACTCTGAATTCTAGTAAGGAAGACTTCCCCTGTAAGTGAAGACCACAACTCTCTCCAGCCAGAAGGTCAGGGGTATGATCAGGAAGAGGCATCTGGAGGGCCCCTAGGGGACAGCCTGATTATATTTCTTGCACTTGAAGGTTGTGGCATGAGTATTTGCTTTAAAAAATGGAATTTGGGTGCTATATACTACATACTTTTTCAACTTAAAATTAAGTGCAATGCGAAAGATTTTATTTTCACAAGCTCTTGAGAAACTCCTTTCATTGGGATAAAACAAAAAATTCCATCCAGAAGCGGGTGCCTCTGGACCATGAAAATCTGTAGATGTACTTGGTTTACCACCCACAAGTTTATTCTACATTTAAAAATATGAATATGTGACTCTCTAATCACTCATATACCCATGATTTACTAACATGTTGATGAACATTCTTCCACATAAATACTATGCTTAGTTCCTTCTGAGGATATATGTGTGTCAACACAAATATAGTTTCCTTCTTTGTATCAGAAAACATAATTTAGTATGCATGCTATTCTGCATCCTGTTTTTTACCTTAACAATATGTCTTGAAGATCTTTCTGTGTCAATTCACAAAGAGCTTCTCTGCTCTTACCCCAGCAGCACAGGATTCCATTGTTTGAATGTATAACATCATTTCCACAATCATTTATTGGTGGACATTGGATTGTTTCCAATTTTTTATTATGTGCATTAATTTTACTATTTTCCCTCTACACAGAGTTGTACTGATGTGTCTTCCTCCCAATGAGTGTGAGAGCCACTACTTCTCCACTGCTCACCAACAAAGTTTTAGGATTTTGGCCAGCTGATGGGGAAGCATGATATCTCATTTTATGTCTTTTG